AAACTGACAGGAACTGGTCATACTAGCAGGAAGTATGGTGGGACAAATGCAAAGAACAGTTTTCCGGAAAAGAACATTTAAAATTTTAGGGAATCGCTTCTCAGCCTTTTGGCTGAGATCAAGTGTAGTAGCTGTTCTTATCAGTTTAATATCTGATACGTAAAGTATTGCAAGAATGGAAAAACAAACACCACATGTACTTGTTATTAAATTGGAACTAATCAATTAGCACTCGTGTGTATATATGGAAGTAAAACTCAACGGAAATCAAGCAGGTGGGAGGGGAAGAGGGAGATGCGTAAAATCACACCTAACGGCTATAATGCACACTATCTGGGTGATGGGCACACTTATAACTTTGACTCAAAGTTTTGCTGTACAAAAGCAATTCATGTAACCAAAACGTTTGTACCCTCGTAATATTCTAAAATTAAAAAAAAATCTTCAAAAAATTTTGGGGAGATATACTATAAATCAACTGGCCCATTAAAATAATGGACTGGTAGTTAAAAATGTATTCATTGTTTAAAAGGACAAATGATATGGTAATCGAGGTGTTTCTTCTGAAAAATCAAAAGACTCAGCTGACAAGTAAAACATTTAATACCCATTAAACCCAACATCAGAATGTTTAATTTTAGCAAGACATCATCTGTTGCATTAAAGTTGTTCATTTGTATTTTATTAATGTTATAGTTTTATTTGCATTTAACTTGTAATTTTGCTTGGATTGTATAAAAACATGGAATTTATAGCTATAACATTATAGAACTTTATAGATAGAACTTTACGTTTGTACGTATTAGAGGAACATTACAATAAAACAAATTTGGGTAAACATTGAAGCTCTAGGAGAATTTATTTTCCTTAAAAGAATTCTGCACATTACTTATATTTAAGAAAATTCCTCATGACAATTCCATGAGGTAGTTACTATTAGCCACATTTTACAGGTGAAGAAACTGAGACTTACAAAGGTAAGTAGAAAATTGCCTAAGGTCATGTAGAGCAAGTCACTAGTGAAGCTGAGATTTGAACCCAGGTTTGTCTAAAAGCCTGTGCTGCCTCATTTAGAGGGAAAGGATGGTATACTGCAGCCTCCTGGGAAGGAGATGTGAGGGTCTCTGAAGGACAAAAGGCAACCTGGGGCTTCCTGGTGTTCAAAAGGCAGGGACAGGGTTGTAGACAAGGGTAAGAGGGCTCAGAAAGCGAGATGGGACAAAGTGCTTGACCAAGGGTCCTCCTGGCAGCCCACAGACACCTACAAAGGTATCTCTCTGAAGCCCCGTGAAAGGAGTTAAGGATACAGAGATAAATAAGACTGTGCCCTTCCAGTTTGTAAGCAGTTTATGGTCTTGCTACTATCTCAGAGAATGTCTGCTCATAAGAGGACTAATTTGAAAGTCTACAGATCCCCAACGTTTACCCCCTTACCAGGTTCAGTGAAAGTTAGCTTTTCAGTCCAGCTGGGCAATGTCCACTTAAATTCTGCCCCTCCTCTGCTATAAAACAGAAAGTAGGGGAAGAAGAAAAATACAGAAGCAGCAAAGAGATCTATTCAGTTACCCATTGAAGAAATACTTGTGGCATTACCTATCATAGTAATAGAGCTATGAAGGGTGTAATGGGCACAATCTAGTTCCACCCCTCAAAGGATTGTTTTATTATTGTAATAATAGCAGCTAACACTTAGATAATGCTTACATATGCCAGGCACTGTTATAAGTGTTTTATATATATTAACTCATTTAATCTTTACAACCAATCTGTGAGGTAGGAGTTATTATTATCATCCTCATTTAACTGAGCCATAGAAAAGTAATTCATCCAGGATCACACACACTAGTAAGGGCAAGGTCAGGACTGGCACCCAAGCAGTCTGGCTCCAGACCCCACTATACTCCTACTTACTGCTCTGTAGTAGTAGCTGAAGGTCTGCCTGAAGACAGTTTGACTGATTAAACCAACAGTAGATTCTCCAGCCCCACCCTCTTAGCAGGGTGTTGGGAAGGGCATAGACTTTAAAGTCAGGTATGGGGTCAAATCAAGGCCTTAGAACAATACTGCTCAGCCTCAGTTTCCAAATCTCTAAATTGGTCATAATAAAAACTGGGCTATTGTGAGATTAAATGAGATAACATATGCATAGTTGGCCCTCAGTAAATATTAGTTCACTCCCTATTGTCAAACGTACTTCCCTCTTTCTGTTTCAGTTCAATGTCTTCCCAGCAATTTCCTGTCCCTTCTCTACTGGGAGACAGATGCAAGGAGGAAAGGAGGGAAATGAAGAGGAGAAGGAGTTATGGCTACATTTATTTTGCTAGGATTTCCCTCTCTAAAACTTTAGACACATCCCTGGAGACTCCTGAAGGTCTGTCCTGTCCTGCATTTGCAGGAGAAGCTTTACTAACTTAGAATATAGACCAGAAAGGCGAATGGAGATTGCTGAACCTAGAAAATACGCACAGGGCAAATGGTCAGTAATCTGCACTATTTCATCAGACAACTGAGAAAAAGAAAAGACAGAAAATTTATTGACACTTTTGTTGTAAATGCTCACATATAAAGATTTCACTTTACCTCGTGTTTTCAGAAACACTCCAGACATGTCAAATAAACTCTCTTGAACTTTAAAATAGAAAAAGGATTGACTGAGGTATGTGTGTGTTTGGGAGTGAAAGCTTAGGGATGGGAGTAATTCAGGAGGAAAAAAAGAGTACTAAGTTTAAAGTGGTTGTTGCTACTCTCTGCCTCCCCTCTCCCTCCATTCTCCAGAAGGCAGAGTTCATAGCGAGACACTGTGTAGTCTTAGATGCCTCTCCTGGAAAGGTTTATCTATCCCAGCCCCAACCCCATCCTGTTGGAAACCATGGATTTGAAGCCTTTTGTTTTATAAAGGACTTTGAGTTCAAAAGACTATAATCATGTGTTAACAATTATGCAGAAAAAATTCTTCTAGTCACTATGGTAATAAAAATGCAAGTAAAAACTATTGAAGTGCCACTGTATACATCTTTAAACATCTTTTAAAGTACGAAAAAAACTTCTAAGGATACCTTATAATGGTAAGACTAAAAAAAATGATTTTATGAATTCTGCTGGTAGTATTGTAAATTGGTACTTTTGTCAATAAAAAGTGAGAGTCCAAAGATGTTTCTACCCTCTCACCAATAATCCTACTCACAGGAAATGATCCTAAGGAAGTTATTCAACAGAAATAAAAGGTGTATAGATAATGACTGTCATTATAGAATTACTTATTAAAAACAAACAAGGAAACAATCTAAATATTCTGTGATAGGCTTCCATTGCACCCCATATACTTTTATGTTTATCACATTTTAATGATTTATTGGTAACTGTCTCCCCAGTAGATAATAAGCTCCATGAGGGTAGGGGTGTCTCTGTCTAGATCCCTGGCACATAATAAATACAGGTTGTAGGAATTATGAATGTTGAACAATTTCTAATATGTTAAGTAAAAATAACACAAAATATATGTATGCTAGAAGTAAAACTGTATTACATATACATGGAAGTAATTATACAAAATTATAAAAAGTTATATTAGGGTGAAGGGATCATTGGATACCTTTTAAATTATTTTGAATATTCTTTAAAGTTGTTGTTTTAGTGCCTCTGAAATGAAAAAGCAGGAAAAAATTTGCTGTTATACATGCCAAACTTATCCTCACAATAGGGGTGGAATAGCTATTTTGAAAGCTTAAGAAGCCATTCCCTAGCTCACGCCCAGGCACTCAGGTATTTTCTTTGCTCCCAGGTAGAAAGACCCAAAATACTCATATTATATGTAGCATAATCCTATTTTCAGTAAAAATCTCAAGCAAAGGCAATATATTAATATTTAATATTTTAAAGAGACAGGGTTAATTAAGTCCTCTAAAGCAATCCCTCTTTTGGATAGTGAATTTGCTGGTTACTAACAGCAGGGGGTGCCAAAGGGATCGCTATTGTTCTTAGGAGATGGCCAGGAAAGGGACCGCTGAGGCCCAGGCTAGAAAAGCTTAGGTTCCAGAGGGCAGCATAAATGCTGTAGGTTTTCCCTTCACAACTGGGACATGTGGGTAAAACTGAGGAGCTTTGTAGACTTGAATGGAAAAAAAAATCACATTTTTATTTTCACTAACTTCTCATATTTTGCATTTTCCTGAATTATACGTGTAGGCAACAAATCACAGTAGTATTAGCAGTGCCAGTGACTCTGTCATGAACAGAAATCATAACTAACACCACAGCACGTTACAGTGTTGCAGATTTCTCAAATACCATTTATGCTCATCACCACTTTGAAATAACAGACTTCAGGAGTTATTGTGAGATCTGCAGCTGGATGTTGTTATTTAATCTATTAGTAAAGCCATATGTATTATATCACAAATTTGTTTAATAATTTGACAACTTTAAATATAACAGAATGCTTTTATATTCCAGTGAATTTTATGTTATGCATTTACACACGCTTTTCTGAGAAGGGCTTTTATAGGCTTTACCAGACTGCCAAAGGCACAAAAAGGGTTAAGAATGTCTGCTCAATCTAAAGGAAAGCAATTGAGAAGAAAAATCAAATTTGATCTGAACAAAGTTGGAGAGAAAAGTACTTTAAGTCACAAAAGAGAAGTGGCCACAATGCACATTTTCATTTAGTTTGTAATCCTTGAAGAGAAGGTGGCAAACCCAGAACTTCTGCTTCCCAGGCTCCAAGAGCACCAGTGTTTCCACAGGCCTGGTTCCAGATATGACATTCAGAGATCTATCTTACACAACTGGCTACTGCAAAGCAGTCTGTATTTAGCTTAGGTGCAGAGGATAGAAATACAATGCTAATGTTGTCCCCAACGTCTCTCTGGAAGTTATCATTATTACAAGTGGACTCTCCAGATGCCAAATATCATTCATTTGATGAACAAAACCAAAATCAGATCCAAAATGCTAAAAGGTAGGGATGAAATATGGAGATAATCAATGGAGTCAGTACTCACATTCGAACAAAGAGTGACTCTTTGGATGTCAGACCAGGAGACGAATACTTTTCAACCAGGGCCAAAGTACTGAAGCCAAACTTATGAATGGGCTCATTGGAATCCAGCGGGGGGAAATCTGTGTCCACCTCCCCATCATCCTCAGCAATATGCAGGCAGTAGGCACTGACGTTGTCACTGAAAGGAATACCAAAAAGGTGAGTGAATACCAAATAAGTAAAGGAAGATAAGACCAGAGGGTGTGGTGTACAAGCAAGTTGAGGACACTGCTGTTCTTTATCCCAAGTTGGTGATACAGTTAGAACCCCCAAATCCTACTTCACTTGATAGAGAGAAAACACATGGCAATGCAAAGGGGAGGAAAATAATGTGAAATGAAAGTCTTTATACTACTCTATTTTTTTAACATTTACTGAGCACCTATGGTAGATAAGACACAGAACTTAACCCTTTAGCTCAAAGGTGAGATTTAGTATCAGCCCTAAAGGAAGGTTACAGGCTGGGTGTGGTGGTTCATGCCTATAATCCTAACACTTTGGGAGGGTGAGGTGGGAGGATCGCTTGAGTTTGAGACCAAGAGTTTGAGACCAGCCTGAGCAATATAGCAAGTCTACATCTCTACAAAAAAAAAAAAAAAAATAGCTCGGTGTGGTCTCCAGCTACACAGGAGGCCGAGGCAGGAGGATCTCTTGAGCCCAAGAATTTGAGGTTGCAGTGAGCTGTGATGACCCCACTGCACTCTAGCCTGGGCAACAGAGCAAGACATTGTATCCAAAAAAAAAGGGAAGCTTACAGTAAAGTAGAGGGAAAAAAGTAAGCCCTCTGCTAGCTATAGTACAAATATCAATAAATATGAATAAAATAAATATCACAAAAGAGATACAAACAAAATTATAAAGGGGAAAATTATTTGAGGGGAGTCAGAGGCCTTTGATTTATGGTTAGGATTAAGAAAATATCTGTGCTCTAAGATCAGGAGAAGTACTCAAAGTAACCAAGACCATTTAAAGAGTTCTCCCTTCTCTAAGGAGTACTTAACTCACTTGGCATGATCTGACTCCAAAAAGCATAGATCCTTAGCAGAGTAAAAGCAAATGGCCCACTTTATCTGACGCATACACCTGGCCCTCTTGACTACTTCTGGACGTTTCCTGCTTCCCTAGAATGTCCAGTCAGTACTCCTGGATTCCAGCCTTGCCCAGTTTAGAATCAACACACACTCCTCCCTCTCTTGGGGAAGTAAAAAGTTGATCTGTTGAAAGAGGGTGGGAAACTATACCAACATATAGACAGTTTAAAACTGAAATCAACTTAAACACTTAAGCTACCCTGCTCCAAAGCTGAATTATGAAACTGTAAACCTGCTAGCCTCAGAAACACGAACCTAATAGTTCACAAGGAAGTAGAACTCTAAATTCTGCAGCTTAAATTTGGAGTTTTAATTACATGATTGATGCTTAAATTAATTAATTGCAAAGTGTATGCTAATTGTTTAATTGGTTGCTTGATCTATATAGATCATTTTTTGAATTAAATGAGTTGATTTACAAAGTTTATTGATTGGATGTGACAATGAATTATTTCACTGACTACCTGATTTGCAATTTTCCCAATTAATTCACAAATCTTTAGCTGCAACTCTGCTTATTGAGAAAGAGAGCCAACTTCAGGTGATCTATACTCAGTGAGTCTGTCATGACTAAGATATTTATTACATAAAACAGGTAATAAGGACAGATTAAAATTAATGGAAACTGTAAATTTGCTAAATAGATGGATAACAAGAAAGTAATCTGGCTATGTTTGTCACTATAAATTTCAGGTATTTGCAATGCTGTTAAGATATTTAAAATTCATCTCTGAATGGTATGGGAAACTTTTGGATCTTTGAAATAGGGTACTAACTTAAACATAAAACAATGTAGAAGCAGAAGAAAGCACTTTAGATGAGGAAAATGTCATGGTATAGTACAGGGGTGGCAAAAGTTTTCATGGTGGAAGGCTGCATTAATTTAGCTGTAATCAAATAAGAATGCATTCAAGAAACTTCAATTAGATATACTTAAAAATGTACATTATTTTGTAAAAATCTACTATATATTAGGTTGGTGCAAAAATAATTGTGGTTTTGGACTGTGAGTTTTACATCATTATAACTAGGCTCAAACACATCTTCATTAATCAAAATAGGAACCATTACAAACAACACATTTTTGCCAACAAGAAATAAGTTTGCTTATTCCTGTAGCATAAGAATCCATGCTTCAGGATTCGACAAACTCTTGGAAAGCATTTTCTGCATCCTGCTGGTTGTGGAAGTGTTTTCCCTGCAAAAAGTTGTTGAGATGCTTGAAGAAGTAGTAGTCGGTTGGCGAGAGGTCAGGTGAATGTGGTGGATGTGGCAAAACTTCGTAGCCCAATTCGTTCAACTTTTGAAGCGTTGGTTGTGCGACATGCGGTCGGGTGTTGTCATGGAGAAGAACTGGGCCCTTTCTGTTGACCAATGACGGCTGCAGGCGTTGCAGTTTTCGGTGCATCTCATCGATTAGCTGAGCGTACTTCTCAGATGTATTGGTTTCACTGGGATCCAGTAAGTTGTAGTGGATCAGACCGGCAACAGACCACCAAACAGTGACCATGACATTTTTTTGGTGCAAGTTTGGCTTTGCGAAGTGCTTTGGAGTTTCTTCTCAGTCCAACCACTGAGCTGGTAGTTGCCAGTTGTACAAAATCCACTTTTTGTGGTACGTCACAATCTGATCGAGAAATGGTGCTTTGTTCTTGTGTACAATAAGAGAAGAAGACCCTTCAAAATGATGATTTTTTAAATTTTCAGTCAGCTCATGAGGCACTCACTTATAGAGCTTCTTTGCCTTTCCAGTTTGCTTCAAATGCTCAACGACCGTAGAATGGTTGATGTTGAGTTCTTTGGCAACTTCTCACATAGTTGTAAGAGGATTAGCTTCAATGATTGCTCTTAGTTGGTCCTTGTCAACCTCCGATGGCACTCCTCATCTTCAAGGCTTTTGTCTCCTTTGCAAAACTTCTTGAACCACCACTGCACTGTACGTTCATTATCAGTTCCTGGGCCAAAGGCGTTGTTGATGTTGGGAGTTGTCTCCACTGTATTACGACCCCTTTTGAACTTGAATAAGAAAATTGCTCGAATTTACCTTTTGTCTAACATCATTTCCATAGTCTAAAATAAATATAAAATAAACAGCAAGTAATAAGTCATTAGCAAAAAAAAATAAAGCGAGAATTGTGCATTAAAATGATGTATAACATAACCACATTTGAGAATGTATTCCAATATCAAATGGCAAATTTCAACAATGTTAAAACTGTAATTACTTTTGCATCAACCTAAATACTTAATAATTTCAAAAATGAAAACCATTGGTTAATTTTAAAGTTAAGTAACCTTTTAATGACTTTGTTGTATCTACTTTTGTTGGAAAGCATTTGAATATTTAGTTGCAGCATGGAGGTCCACAGCTTCAGTTGATCCTCTAGATAGGTACCAGTCATTTGTGACCTTAAGGGTGTCTTGATTTGGGTTAGGTAGGAGAATGTAGATTCTCAGCAATAAGTGGTTGAAAAGCAAGAAAGTATTTTTTCAGGCTTGTTGCCAAAGGCGTGGGTATTCTCCTGCATTTTTCCACATTTCAACTGGATCTTTCTTAACATCAAACAATGACTTTAAAATGTTGTCTACTGAGAGCTCCATCAATTCCATCTGAGCTCTTTAGGTGCCTTGGTGATATCAACTAGGTGAGGCTGAAATGCTAATTTGAGTGTGATGTCATGACCCTCAGAGTCAGTGAACCTTTCATTGTATTCTCCAATTAATAGGTCTATAACAGCTGCATAGTCTTCAGATGGTTTTCATGTATCATTCTGCTCATCAATGACCTTTGCTAACTGGGAAAAATGTTCATTCAAAATTTCCCTTTGAAGAAGCGTTTTGAAAAAAGATAGCTTTGTTTGAAGTGTTTGGATTTTTTTTGCCACATATCATATATAGACTTAGTTTTACCTTGTAAAGAAATATTCAAGTTGTTTTGACTGGACATGGTAACACACAGAAATGCTATTTCCTATAGAAATCTTCTTTCGATAATTCATATTGCTGATTCTGTTCTTCATAAAATTTAACTATCTGTTCTTGCAGAGATAAAATTTTGTCTCACACCTGTCCCTGTAATAGCCAATGCACTTTAGAATGATAGGGCAAATCCATACTGAATACCTCATCATTCAACTTTAGCATGTTAGGAAACTGATGATGCCCTGTTACATTTGCACAAATATAGTTAACAATACTTAAAAATTGTTGCAAAGTGTCATTTATTAATAAAATAATAGCTTCAGCACAGAGATTTTGCTGATGCAAGATACAATGAAAAGAAAGCATAAAAAAGAGAGCATCGGGATCTGTAAATACATTTTTTATCTGTGCAATAAACTCTTCATGTTTTCCTGTCACGGAAGGTGCACCGTCTGTACATACATTCACTAAATTTACCAAATTCAGTCCAACTGAATGAAATTTATCTTGAAAGTTGTTGAAGATATCTATTCTCTATGTTCTGTTTGCAAGAGTGCCCAAAGTGAGTAACTCTTTGCAGCACAGAAGATCTTCCATCATGATGCAAATGAAGTATAAAACCTGTGCTGAATCAGTAGTATCAGTTGAATTTTCCAAAGTGACTGAATAATATATATTTTCTTTTTGAAGTATTGCATGAAGTTGTTCTGTTAAATTGAAGGCTAATTCATGCTGCCAATCAGTTATGGTTTTGCCAATCAGTTGTTTGCCAATCAGCAAATCATCTTATCTTTAGCAGAAACAAGATAATATTGCAATTCCCATTCCTTGTTAAAAAGACTGTTTTCTTCCTTTCGCGTTCTCTTGGTCTTCTTTGACATGATGGGCTGTTAAGCAGAAAACTAAGAAACACTGTCGAGCCGTGCAACTATTCACAAATTCCAATACAAACAGAAACAGAGTGCACCATTGTCAAATGCTGATAACAGACTGGCATACTTGATCCCCATAAACTCTCACCACCAACTTTGTGGGGTAGTGGCACCAGTCAGGCAGGGCAAGTTAGAACTAAACCATGAGTATAGCAGCAGTCAATTAAGCCCTTATGGCTCACTCATGTAATTGT